TTGTCGCTACAGCTTAGGAAGAACCAGCAGAACAGGATGAATCAAAAAGCATTGAAAATAGTCGAGAAAGAAAAGTGCAAGCATTTCCAGGTACGCAGCACAAGCAAGGAAGGGTTTTCTCCGCCAGATGGTCTGGTGTTTAACAACGAACATTATGGTGTTTCTGGTGACTTGAACCAACCTTCTGCCCTAACTGACTCTATTGAGCACACCGAGTGTATACAAGCAACGGCAGACGGAGAAAATGGATCGACTGAGCCAAAACCTTCGGTTGAGAATTTCAGCACTTCTCAAGAAGAAGACAACGGCACGGATGAGCTTGTTCCTAATGAGCAGACGACTGAAAGTCGCTCACCCGAAAAGTGTATAAATGAATTCCCTGAAGGGTCTGTTGGGATTGCTACGAGGGTCAGAGAAGGAAATGAATGGAGCCTGGATAAACACAGTTCTACGTTAATCGCTAATTCGTCGCTCATTAGTGAACATGTGTCAATTGTCCAAGGAAAGGAAAATTCCCTAAACCATTCAGACTACTGTGCCGAAAATGGTCGTTCATCTGAACAGACGGAAGAAAGCACAAAAATTGAAAGTATCGACTTCCACAAGGAAGGATCTTTGTCTAGCGATTGTGAAACGTGTGAAACAAATGAACCCACGTCGACTGACGACAATAGAGGTAAGGCTGCGGCAGCATCCGCAAGTGGTGACGAGGACGCAAGAACTGAACGTAATTTGAGAATCAGTGCACTCGTGAATTGCGCCAACGAAACATCAACATTTGGCGACGAAACTTCCATTAAAAATGAAACCATTGGACCGGCATCTAATGAAGACCAACATGCTGGAGCAAACGAAGAAATGGCTGCACAAAATGGGGGCAGTGAGAATCACATTGAAACAAAGATTCCTGGTACAGCATCTAGTGATGTCGTGACTCTTTCAGCTCAAGATGAAACTCCGTCTGACGCGAGAAAGTGTACTGAAAACCTTGCAAGACCAGTAACAGATTCGGTAGGTAGTACAGAAATCCACGAAAAGTTTCGTTCTCGTTCTGTATTGGTTGACAAACTGACTGACGGTCCCTGCTCGTCTTGCGTTTCTCATGAACGTCTGCCCGATGACATCCACCAGTGTGATTACACTATTATTAGTTCCCCTCGGGTCCTAAAGGTGGTTTTAAAGGCGTGTTCGGGTCACAAAGCTAATGAAGAGGAAGTGGGTGAAGCTAATAAATTTTCAAGGATTTGTCTTTCTGGATGGCACTTACAGTGCGAGGATGGGTCGTGGATTGTGGTAGAACAGGGAAGATCTCATAGCGATTGTGACACTCCAGGTATCAACATTCAATTATCAGAAAGGCTTGGTGCTTTCTTTCATAAAGAAGAGAGGCTATGGACTGTGATAGAAAATGCGCATGTCGCTAATGAACCAGAGGAGGTCAAAAATCAGATTCAGAATCAAGATGTAAGTGCCATATTTGCTGGGACAGAAAATTCGCCCAATGATGTTACACCTCAGGATCAATCTGTTACGTCTTATCTCAGTCCAGGTAACGCTCACCAAGATCTCAGTGTCACGTTTTCAGGTGATGAAGCCAGACAAGTTACTAAGACAAACTTTGGAACTTGCAAACCTCCTGGAAGTTGCACAGTTGTTCCAAATCCAAGATCGGAGTCGGCAAATCAAGGACCTCTTCATGCAGCCATTCAACAGATTTTCCAAAGGATGGCCATGTTCAGGAGATCGGCAGTGGACGTCCTTGATGATAACAAACATGAAACCATTATAGAGATTATTTGTAACTCTCTATGCAGCGCTCTTTGGGACGTCCTGTCAGTTGGACTTCGAAAAAGGTTTATTGGTAAATACACAGTCTGGAATGTGGTTGAAGAGTTCAAGGATGTTTCGAGTCATGTGTGCCGAACCGTGGACTGGGTAAACACCAAGTACGTTCTTCTTGGTGAAACACAAAAATTCCAAGCGTTTGTTTGCGAATGTCTCAACATCGGACATGGTACCTTGCACCAGTGGCTCAAAAGCCTTTTTAAACAAAACGAGAAGAAACTTAACAAGTACTACAATCAAGATGGCATAGTCTTTCACCTTTCTCGTGAAAAGTTAGAAGAACTGGTGTCCGATTTATCACAAATCAGTTCCCTGCGTTTTGACCTAAACTTTGAAAGTTGGATCAGAACACAGGGTTATGACCTTAATAAGGCAGCTTTTGCATTTGAATAGCGATCTACCAGTATATGTACGGCTCCTAGAAACTAAGTCTATGACAATGCAAACAAGTCGTACCAACACCAGTCCTCAACCTCAAAAAAATTACCTGAACTCTAAAGTTACAGAAATTACCTTTGAATTCTGTTGTAATACTAGATACCTGCGCTATCTGCGAACGAGTCTGAATAATTAAGTTAGAAGTACGTGCAGAATGTGCTAGCAGCTAAAGCTTGGTTTTCACTAGCGAAGCAAGCACAAGCGCAAGCACAAACGCAAGTAATAGGGATGGCCCAAGTGAAAACGAGATTCGATGCAAACTCAAGCACAAGAAAAATCATCCGAACCATCCAAACTGTTTAGGCGCGAGGTAATCTGGATCCAATGTTTTCATTGGCCAAACATAACCAAATATCCATGTGCTTGTGTCATTCCTGAGCGGTATTTCGTTTTCACTTGCTGCAGCGCAAACGCAAGCATAAGCGCAGCACAGGAAAAGGAAAATTTTTTATCATTGTCAGATGTGTTTGTGCTTACGCTTGTGCCTATGCCTGCGTCAAGGCCGTTTTCATGGTGAAATAAGAATTATTGTGTTTGCGCTTGTGCTTGCGCTTGTCCTTGCGTCGCTAGTAATTGTTATTCAAGTTCAGTTGAGTTTAACCGTCGCTCAGTTTAAATATAATTTTGTGTCGAGTTCGCGTTCGGAAATTAAAGTATAGAGAGTCAAGTAGAATGAGGAAACAAATTCTGAAAAAGTTAAGTGCTGGTGAAACTTCTTTCATCCTTGTTAGGCAATTTCGCAACATGTTTTGGGCAGACGACTGCAACTTGTCTGTTACAGAAGGTTTTTCAAATGCCGAAACTGACATTCTGGACGAAAATTTGTCCATCGTTTGTACAACATAGATCCTAACAGAATGGTCAAACAGCTAATATTTGAGATGATTTTTCTGTCAGTGAACGCACAGGCATACACCGAAAAAGAATTTCTAGTTCTCCAGCAAGGATTCAAACCTATGTACTAGTTACTAGCCCAGATGCTCTACAGGAGAAATGTGAAAGCGAAGGCCAACAAACATCCTCCAACATTTATACCCAACTGTTGGGAACATTTGACCAAAACCTTACGCGCCCCAGATGTGAGCAACCGGTCTAACGGTTAGCGTAAAACTGACATTTGCTAGCCGTCTTTTATACTATACACATTTGGCTTACAAATTATCTTCAGCAGTGAAATGAAGCAAGCCAAGAACACACTTGAGCAATTATAAAAAAAAACTTAAACGATGCATCATGATATGAAGTAAGTTTATACTGTAACAATTTCATCTGATGGTATATCGTGGTGGTGTTAATACGAACTATAATTATACTACTTTTACTGTTACAGAAAACTTATCTTCATTGTATTTTATGATGTAACATATCAATGTTTTTTCTTAAATTTAGTGACGATAACATAGTCGGATTTGAATTCTTTGAAGGTTCGAAAAGGCAAGTAATGAATAATTTGATTATTGTTTCATGTGAAAGTGAGTTTCATTTACATAGAATTTATTACTGAAAAAAAATATATATAACGTTTTGCACATAAACAATTCTGGATTTTTCAAATAGGTAGTCCTGATAAGAAAACGTCTTCGAAAAGTGACCTACAATTTCCAAGTTAATCGTCGAGATAATTCAACTCTGCTACAAGGACAAATTCGTCTCCGTTGTGATCTCTAAGCGGTCGTGTGAATGCGCTTTCAATAAATTTGTTCACTATTACTTCCAGCTGTTCAGCCTTTTCGTCTTTTAGTTCCTGTACTGTATCCGGGAAACCATTGTTCTTGTAACTCTGCCACCAGGCCTTCCCAATGACTCTCTGGTCTGCATACCAACTGTCAATCACTTGCTGTATGTTACATTCAAGTTCAACTCTAAAGCAAAGGCTTACAGGACAGGTAGTTAATAGATGACTTATGGATAAATTGCGCGAGGTGAAAGCTTCGCCGCACGAACAAATTGCTTTTTTGTTATGTTCATCCTGCTTTGAGAAGGGCACGCTGTGAGTTTCTGTAACTCTGTTCTCATTAGCTACTTGGCCCGATACATAAGCAGTGTAACC